GAGTGCAGTGGCACGCTCACGGCCACCACAGCCTCAACCTGCTGGGCTCAGGTGATACTTCTGCCTCAGGCGTCCGAGTAGCTGGAACCACAGGTGTGTGCCACCATGCCTGGCTAAGCCTTCCATATTTATAGGTTCCATATCCAGGGATTCAACCTATCGTGGATCTAAAAGATTCCCAAAAATTGCATCTTTATTGAACACTTACAGATTTAATTTTCTTGTCATTATTCCCTAAACAATACAGTATGACAGCTATTTACATTGCATTAGGTATTATAAGTAAGCTAGAGATGATTTAAAGTACAGTAAGTCCTCACTTAATGTGGACAGGTTCTTGGAAACTGCGACTTTAATGACACATGGCAGGCAGGTCCTTGAATAATGTTGTCTTGTTCAATGTGGTTTCATTATAAGACTGATGAGGAAAAAAATGGTTTCATTATACATAATTTCAGTAAAAGCTGCAGTTTCCAAAAGCCTACCGATGACCTTAAGTGAGTACTTAACTGTCTACAGGGCCAGGCATGGTGGCTCACGTATGTAATTCCAGCACTTTGGGAGACCAAGGCAGGGGGACCACTTGAGTCCAGGAGTTCGAGACCAGCCTGGGCAACCTAGCAAGACCTTGTCTCTATTGAAAAAAAAAATGTATACAGGAGGATGTGTGTAAGTTATAGCAATTACTAGGCCGTTTTATATCAGGGATTTGAGAATCCAAGGATTTATTTTTTACCTCCAAGGGAGATCCTGGAACTAATCACCCAAGGACAGAGAGGGAAAACTGTATACATCCCAGCTTTCCTCTGGGTGGCCTGACATTGGCTGCCTTCCTGCTGTTTCTCCATCACCCTGGCTCCCTCCAAGATTCTGTTTTGCAAAACTCCATTTTGTCCTAAATTGATGGCACCTGGGAGTCCAGAGGTAGAATTCCAAAACAACAATTTGCCCTGGAAAATGTGCCGGATAGGTTGTGTCCTGTGAGGCCCAGGTCATACTTTATCTGGGAAATGTCCTGAGGCCCAAGACACAATCCTCCCCATTCCTGGCCCTTCCCATGCACCTCCAACCCACCCCCACAGACTCACAGTCTTGTTTAGAACAAAGGTGGAGAAGGTAGGAACTAATGTTTTTTCTCTGAGGGACATGTGATGTTTTTTAATCCCCACTGTCCCTGCAAGAAGCAGGTGGTCAGGAAGTTGATCAGAGACTGCAGGTGGGCTCCATGTGTAGACCCAGCTGTGTTCAGCCTTTGCCTCTTGTGATTTTTTTTTAGTTAGAATCTCACTCTGTCACCCAGGCTGGAGCACAGTGACATGCTAACGGCTACGGCATCCCCAACCTGCTAAGCTCAGGCAATCCTTCCGCCTCAGCCTTCCAAGTACTGGAACTACAGGCACATGTCATCATGCCTGCTAATTATTTTGATTTATTGTAGAGACAAGGTCTTGCCAAGTTGCCCAGACTGGTCTCCATCCCCTGGGCTCAGGCAATACTCTCACTTTAGCCCCCAAGGTGCTGGGATTACAGGTGTGAGCCACAGATCCTGGCTCCTGTGACTTGAACTCTCTCTTTTTTTTTTATTGGAGTCTCATTCTGTTGCCCAGGCTGGAGTGCCGTGGCACACTCATGGCCACCCCAGCGTCGAGCTGCTGGGCTCCGGTGAATCTTCCACCTCAGCTTTCCAAGTAGCCGAGACTACAGGTGCAGTGCTACCACGCCTAGCAATTTTAAAAACAATTTATTGTAGAGACGAGGTCTTGCCAAGTGGCCCATGCTGGTCTCGAACCCACGGCTCAGAAAATCCATTCGCCTCAGCCTCCCAAAGTGCTAGGATTACAGACTGAGCCACTGAGCCACCAAGCCCAGCCCAACTTTAACTCTTTTTTTTTTTTTTGAGTTGGAGTCTCACTCTGTCACCCAGACTGGAGTGCAGTGGCTGCTCCCGGCCACCGCAGCCTCGACCTGCTGGGCTCCGGCAATCCTTCTGCCTCAGCCTTCCAAGTAGCTGGAACTACAGACGCGTGCTACCACGCCTGGCTAATTTTTGATTTATTGTAGAGACGAGGTCTCGCCGAGTTGCCCAGGCTGGTCTTGAACCCGCGGGCTCGGGCAATCCACTCGCCTCGACCTCCCAAAGTGCCGGGATTACAGTCAGCCACCAAGCCCGGCCAACTTTAACTCTTAAATGTAAGCCCTTGTTAAGGAAAAGATGCTTGGATGGAGAGTGACACTTCAAGGAGCCCTTTCCTGGGGTTAGGGGAGGGGGTGAGGCAGGGCCACTACACCACTTCCCACAGCCAAAAGTCCTTTCCCTCTGAATTCCGCTTCAGCTGTCCTCTCAAACCCGTGTCCAGGAGGGCGTTTGGATAGGATCTTGGCATTTCTGCCACTCCCTTCCCACCCCAGGAGGGGCACAGTGCTGATGTTGATAGGTCATGCCCCTCTCACGTCTTCTTTCTGCCTCCCTAACAGTCTCAAGACTTGGGGGGGAGGGTGGCTGTGGGTGCCCCACCAGTTTCCTGTCTCTTCCTTTTGGACATACAAGCTCCAGGGTGGTCCAGGACACTGCTTAGGGTGCTTCCTGCGCACCATGGGGTAGGGAGGGATTGGCTTACTCCATGAAATACCTCTGAGGCCCCAACTGAGGCCATAGGAATGGGGGTAGGGAAGCTATGTGCGTGGGCATTGGGGAGCCTTGAGGGTGGGGAGTCTAGGCGAGACCAGGCTTGCTCTGAGTCCCCCAGCAGGTGCCCCCTGCTCCCTCACACCCTCCACTTCTTTCTCTTCCTTCCTGGTCCCTGGCCCTCAGGCAGCTGGCTGTGCCGTGCACCAGGTGTGACGAGCCACGCTTGTCTCAGCAATGCCAGGGAAGGACACAGGGTTGGACAAGCGTCTGCCCTCCAAGGTCTCTTCCTTGGCCCACACTCCCTTTTCCAGGCAGACACCACTCCCCCGGTTCCTCAGCCCCTTCCTCCTAGTCCTGTCTTTCTCCCCCACACACCGCCTTCCTGATTCCTGGACCCAGCCCACAGCTAGCAGTATGGTGAAGTGCCAGGGGCCGTGCTCTCTCCTGCCTCCCAACCAGTGCCAGGCCCTCCAAGGCGCTCCACAAAGACACGCCCTGTCTGTCTCTGGGCTGTTGGGGGATGCCCAGGTGCTTGGAGCTGTGAAAGGGGAAGGAGTAAGGGAAGGGCTCCCACTTGGGACCCCCGTGTCCTGCTGGTTCCTCTGTGCAACTGCATTCCCACGGCCCATTTCCCACTGGAAGGGAGGCCTTACTCCGGCAGGAGAGGGCAAGACCCATGTCTGTTTCACTGGCCTTGGCACCTCCTGTTCCTGACAGCGCTGGGCACACACGCAGGAACTCGACAGCACTGACTGAGTGGATGAATAGTCGTCATTGGCTTCCATCCCAAGTGTTGGGGTGCTGTCTGTGCAAGGTGGTTCTTTGAGGGAACAGGCGTTGCGGGAGGTGTGCAGTGAGGGCAGAAATGCCTCCTTGCCATGGACGTATGAGTTTTAAAATGTGGACAGTGAATGAGCATGACCCTCCCCCCCCCACGTCACACTCCAGCCCCGACCCAGCACAGCTGGTGGAGAAGGAAATAAGCCGACCGGGCCATGGGCCCTTGTGTTGCCCAGAGTGAAGGGGGTGGCTCGGGGGCTGGCGGGAGCGCAGGGTGGCCCGGAGCTCCTCTGTCCCGAGTTCTAAGTGGCGTCCCTTGCCCTGACCCACCCTTCCCCTGGCCTGCAGGTGGGTCCTGTACGAGGAGCCCAACTACCGTGGCCGCATGTACGTGGTGGAGAGAGGCGACTTCCGCAGCTTCTCTGACTGGGAGGCCCACAGCGCCCGGGTGCAGTCGCTGCGCAGGGTGGTCAACTTCTTCTAACCTGGACCGCCCTGGGGACGGGAGAGGCTCCGGGGACAGGGGTCGCCCCTGGGGCCCTCACCCAGGCACTCGGACTGTGGACAATAAAGGTCCTGAAAGTGGAGCCTGTGGATGCTTTTTGGCCTCTTGAGAGAGGGGCTGGTGCTTGGGGATGGGTTAGGAAGGCTGGGGAGGGCCCTGTGAGGCCCCTTAGGGCTGCTGGGGACCTCGTAGGGCCTGGAGTCCGAGCCCTTCAGTTGACGCAGAAAAGCCCTCTCCCGGAGTAGGGCGACAGGCCTCAGGTTGAGCACGGTGACCGTGGGTGGAGCCAGAACAGGCCCAGTATGCTTTCTCCCAGCCCAGGGCCCCCCTGGACCAGTGAGTGGGGAGTGAGATCTGAGAAGTGATGAGGAAGAGGGACGGGGCTGAGGGGGAGGGGGAGAAGCAGTGGGGGCGCAGGAGGCTCCAGGATGAAGGGCAGAGACCAAGGGGCGGCCGAGGGCAAGTTGGGAGGGGAGGTGTGGGGCGGGCCAGGATGGAGGGCAGAGGGCAGGGATCCAAGGCTGGCCACAGTGACTGAGGATGATCTCTCCAGGCTCTGCCTCCCCCGCTCAGCATCCCGGGGCTGCCAGGCCAGGTGGGCTGCTCAGTGGCCAAAGGCCCGACCCAGAGTTTGTGTGTCTGAATCTCTGGATTTGGTCCTCTCTGCTAATCTTGGCCTCGGAGTTTCTAAGGGAGGCCCTTCTGCAAGGATGGGAGGGCCCCAGGACAGACCCCTCCCTGTGAAGGAAAGACAGAGGGGTTGGGGCTGAGGGGGGTGGGGATGGGGCTGCGTGAACAGGTGGGCTTTCAGAACAGAAAGGAACATGGCGGGTATCTGCTCCAACCTGCAATGCCCACGAGTGGCAAGGCCCGGCTGGGTGGATCGGGTTCCAGGTGCACTCGGCAGCACCAGATACCAATCTATGGAAATTTCTTGTAGCCTGGACCCTCTCCAGGACAGTGGGTCCACCTGATGGGAGTAGGCTTGAATCTGGAAGGGGCCACCCCTTCCCCAAGAGGATGGGGAGGACAGAGAGGTGGGAGAAGCCTGTCCTGGAACGAAGGCCCAGGCAGTGGAATTTCTGGGACTGGGAGGGTCCACGCCCCCTACTCCCGACTCTATCCCCACCCACACTTCTGGATCCAGCCATCGAGAGAGAAGAGGTCCCAGGAGGGGAACTTGTGGTCACCAGGGCTGGCCCAGGAACTCCACCCCTCAGGCATCCCAAATGGAGACTGCAGAGATGGTTAGGCTGCACCTGGTGAGGAAACCGCAGCTGACCCCAGGAGGAGGTAATGCATGGAGTCCTCTGGGCTTCAGAAGAACACAGGGGCACTGGCCCTGAGGGTGGGGCTTGTGGATGTGAGGGACCCCAAGATGTCTGCAGCCACCTGTGCCAGATGGGTGAGGGATCAAGGGGGTGGGACAAGCGAATTGGTCAGATTGTCTACAGCGTTCTGGTCCCAGATCAGGCTCCTGGTCCAGCCTCCATAGACTGTGATCCCGAGGGTCCTCCTCCTCCCAGGTGGCTCCCGACTGCCCCCTCGGTCCCCCAACCCCTCCTCCCCACACATCCTGCTCCAGTTTTTTGAGTAGGCAAAAGGGGTCCTGATTGGGAAGCACCCCCTCCAGGCTGGCCACTCGCCTCATGATCCCCGTGGGAAAGTACAGGAACCCTGAGACTAATATTTGAACTGGAATTGGGACATGCTGACAGTCTTTTGGGGGGTTGATGGAGCCAGGAGCTGAGGGAAGGAAAACAGTGCTCCTGAGAGATAAACAAAGTCTCAGGGGCTGATTCTGGACCAGGGTGTGGAGGGAAAGACAGAACTCCAGTGAGTGTGGGGATACCCCTTCCCACTTCCTGGGTGTCATCCAGCCTCCTCTCCACTCCCCACTGGGAGAGAAATTTTAAAAGGAGAATCACGCGAGGCACGGTGGCTCACACCTGTAATCCCAGCACTTTGGGAGGCGGAAAGGATTACCTGAGCTCAAGGGTTCTAGACCAGCCTGGGAAACTTGGTGAGACCCTGTCTCTACAATAAATCAAAAAATTAGCTGGGCATGGTGGCACACACCTGTAGTTCCAGCTACTTGGAAGGTTGAAGTGGAAGGACCGCCTGAACCCAGCAGGTTGAGGCTGCAGTGGCCGTAAGCATCCCACTGCACTCCAGCCTGGGTGAGAGTGAGACTCCTACTCAAAAAAAACAAAAGAATCATGAAAAGTCGCCCAACTCACCCAGGACAACACCCCCACCAAGAGCTGAGTAGCAAAGACATAGGGTCCCCATGAGTGCCGGGGGACCCCCCCCTTAGGCTGCCCCAGAACAGCAGAGGCCGAGTCAAGGTGTGACACCACCAGGTGACCATCCACCCCAACCAGGAAAGGGGAAGGGGATCTCTTCGGCCATCTGGTAGGTAGCGTCCACAGAAGGCATACTCTGTACCCCAAATGCCCCAGCCTCACCCCCTTTCTCCTGCCAATCACAGAGGATAGAGCCCCAGAAGCTACCTCTGCTGAACCGAGGAGTGGCTGTCAGAGCAGTGGCTGTGCCAAGCAGACCCTCCCTCTTGTGAATGTTCAGATCAAGGACTGGAAGAAACCATCATGAAACTAGCCACAAACAGGCACTTGGTTCCCGAGTTCAAATCTCTGAGCCCAGAACCCATCGACATGTAAATGCACCATCACCACTTCTGAGTCGGAAAGAGATGATTTAAAAGCGTGTCTTCTTCTTCATTTCTCTGCCAGTTTGATAGGGAAGTGGAGCTTCCTGTGCGGGTGTATCTGCCAGCAGGAGGCCCACCTTACCCATGGTCAGTGCCTGCATAATCTCCCCTAAACAGCTGCCAGCCAACACCCCCACACTTCCTTAATCAGCAGCATCCTGTAGGCCTCAGTCCCCTAAGATCTCAAATTTCTTTGTCCACAATTGATGGTGATGATGATGATATTAACAAACATTTATTGAGCACTGACTCTATGCCAGGCTCTGTAGTAGGTGGAATCTGTGTAATTTTACTTATGTATGGTTAACACCAATATTACGATACACTTATTATCACCACTATACAAATGAGGGGAGTTAGACACAGACAGGTTAAGCAACTTGCCCAAGGTCCCACAGCCATCAGGATTCAAACCCAGAGCTGGCAGTCTAGTCCCTTTGATCCTAATCATACATTTGCATACGTAGGTATATTTTTGGCATGAACTTGGAGCAAGCCTAAGCTTTTCCAGGCCTGAGATCCTGCCCTGTGAAATGAGTGCAGTCATATCTGTTGTACCAACTATATACACTTACAGAAACCAAATAAGTAATCCATGAAAAGCTGCCATGTGAGTATTCATTACTTTTTTTTTATTTTTTGAGTTGGAGTCTCACTCTGTCGCCCAGACTGGAGTGCAGTGGCATGCTCCCAGTCACCACAACCTCAACCACTGGGCTCCGGCGATCCTTCCGCCTCAGCCTTCCAAGTAGCTGGAACTACAGGCGCGCACAACAATGCCCGGCTAATTTTTTGATTTATTGTAGAGATGAGGTCTCTCCAAGTTACCCAGGCGGGTCTTGAACCCGCAGGCTCAGGCAATCCACTCACCTCGACTTCCCACAGCGCGGGATTACAGGCTGAGCCACCGAACCCAGTCCATTACTTATTTTTTACTTTTATTTTTTGAGTTGGAGTCTCACTCTGTCGCCCAGACTGGAGTGCAGTGGCCGCTCCTGGCCACCGCAGCCTCTACCTGCTGGGCTCCGGCAATCTTTCCACCTCAGCCTTCCAAGTAGTCGGAACTACAGGCACACGCTACCATGCCCAGCCAATTTTTTTGATTTATTGTAGAGACAAGGGCTCGCCAAGTTGCCCGGGTGGGTCTCAAATACGCGGGCTCAGGCAGTCCACTCGCCTCGGCCTCCCAAAATGCTGGGATTACAGGCTGAGCCACCGAGACTGGCCATGAGTATTCATTGTTAGTAGTAAGTGACCGGGCCTCAGGGAATCAGGGAAGAGCTACTGTGTCATAGGAGAGAGGTTATCTGGCTCCAGATTTCAGCTTGATTCTCGCTCTGCCACCCACTAGGATGGGACATTGGACAAGCCACTGCTCTGTGCACTCAGTGTCCTCAGGTGTGCAGAGGGAGTAATAATACTACCCCTTCTCAGGGAATTAATTTCTGGGGAATTAAATGAGAAGCACTGGGCCCCCACCAGCTGCGTCCAGCTCCCTGGGGGTCAGGGGAGGAGCCAGACCCAGGAGTCCTTCCAGGAGAGTTCCAGAGGTTTCTCCTGAACTGTTCCTCTCTCCCCAGCACTGAGGAGTAGCAGCACCTCATTAACTAGTGATTTAATGCTTCTCAAATAGGCTTTGTGCTCCTGGGTGACCTCCCCCTCACCCCAGCCCCCTGCTCCCTAATCTGTCAGCAAATCTGCTTTTCCTCTGAAAGAATAAAAACAAGATTCCCACCAAAGAGCTTGTGGGCAGGTTTGTAATTTATCTGAAGTTGGTCCAGGGGTCGATGGACCGAGCCACACATGCCTCACATAGTTCCGTCTCCCTCTGTGGTTTGGAGAGCTGGGCTTTCACAAAGCCATCCCCCCTCATGTCCTAGACCCGAGGTCCCCCTGCCCCACTGGCCCCCTGCTGACGTCTGACCACAGGAAAAATATTCCCTTTGAACCCCCTGCAGATGTTCCTCCCACCAGCCAAGGGCTGATCCAAGAAGCCTCTGTGGGCCCCTTCCCCTTCCTGGGCCTCCCTCCTCCTGCCCATACCCACACCCCCACCCCTGTGGGCCACCACATTCTTGGCTGGAGGCTTCCTGTCTCTTGCCTCTTCAACCCACTGGAGAGGACTCGCCTTCAGAGCAGGGGCTGTGCCCCACATAGCTATGCTCCCCTCAAAAACGCACAACAGATTTTCAATCAAAACCCGTTGAATGAGTTCAAGCCCACCCAGGGACACCAAAAATAATAAGTAAATAAGAATAAACCCAAAGTAAAACAAGCACATAACTTGTTGAACGAGATAATTTTAAAAATGTATCTCCAAAGTTTCAGTTT